AGGCAGTGCATACCGCCTTCGATCTCGTGCTGATGTTGGTAAGGTGTCCTGTTGTCTGAGTCTCGCGTCTCTTTAAGCGCTCTATGCTCTCTCGCGTCTCTTCATTCGTACTCCTTCCTAGGTTAGTATCCTCTTCGTATGCGCCTCGGCTCGGCTATAAGCAGTCAATAGCTGCTCTTTCTTCTTCTACATTTCTCGCCAGCCACTATGTGACATCTCTGACATCTCTGAACACCGTTTCATGATAGCTGCACTGATGCTCTGCTCGGCTGTCTTCAAGTCGCCTGGATTCTGTAATCTGGATGTTACACGAAACATAAAAAGGCGCGCTGCCTAAGTGTAGCATAGAGAACACTCGTGTGTGGTGCGCGCCTGCATTGGGCTAGATACCAACATCGGCGCGGTCGATTAAATAGATATTCGCCGCGACATGCCTGCATAATAAGCGTGCAACACACAGTGACTGGACCACGGCGACGGGAGAGCTGGTTAATTGGCTGGTGGTTTAGCTTCTCGTGTTGCCGAGTCTAGAATGACTCTTCCGCTGTCTCCTTGAGACACAGGGATATGGGCGGCATATAACGCCGGCTTGGAAATGCGTTTGTGTGCGACTAACAGTGACACACGGCAATCTGCCCGCTTTCGCCACAGCTTGTGTGGCACGCTGATGCCGCTTTCTCGCCTTACGCCCACTCGCCTTCTAACCGTCCATTGCACTGCGACAGCCGAGGGTTGTATATAATTGATGATGCTTTTTTCTCTGTTGTGTATTAGTCGGTGTTCAGTATGTTTGTGTTGTAGTGTTGCGAATTAATTCGCGGTGTGTGTGCTGTGGATCTGTGCGTCGGGGCTCCGCGTTGTGGTCGTGGCTGCGGTCGCAGTTGTCGGGTGGGTGACTTACGCCCCGCCGCGCCGTGCGTAAACTACATAGGTCGAGCTCGCGCATCGATCGGCTCCAGGCGATCCGCGTGCAGATCGCGTGTCCGTGTGTACTCGTTCGAGCGCGTGTGGCTTTCAGCGCTCTCAGGTCCTGTGGCGACTCGCGTTTCTACGTTAAGTGGGAATCTTGTCGCAAGATTTAGACGTGATGAGATGAGAACAGAAGATAGGTGGTGGTGATTTAGGAGGTATGAGTAGATGTTGAGCCTCAAGCATCACATTCTCGGTCGTGATTAAAAGGTGTCGCTATAAGAGATGTAGTGTGTTTCATGAGATACTATCAATATAATTGTTTGTGGTAGAAAATTAGACTGTGATCGAGCCCGAACGGGAGGTTATAGCAGGTTTAGTATCTAGGTCTCTCGCTCTAAGTCGAGCTGGCGCCATGTTGGCGGGATTGCACGGTTTATGATATGATGGATACTATTGGTTGGATGTCTCTGGGATTGCGTAGAGGCCCTATTATGTGTGGTGTGGCTGCTACGATAGTTATCCTCGGATCTGGGCACCTGATTTACACCAGCGCGAAATCGCGTTTATAGCCTAGGACCTCGATTCACCGCTCTATAGATGTTACGGACTAGCTCAACGCGACAGCGCTCCGCTCTGTGCGCTACGCATAAAGTGAGTACTGATGGGCATCTAGGATTGGTGGTGCGGGCATGACTCTCTAAATCGCTCAATCGGCCTCAGTGCTCTTAATTCGGTCTCAATGCTGTTTTACTAGAATTACGAGCCTTAAGTATATAGAGATTCAGTTGCTTTCTACGACGGATTACCTAACTGATTGGTATACTCGAACACGTGCAGCTAATAGAAGGTGCGCTGTGATGGATCGGCGATAGAGTTTTCGTATAACTTCAGAGGACCTCCTGAAGTACTCTGCGATCGAGTCTGTAAGACGCCGTGTATATGGGGTTATCACTGGAACTATGAGTATCTTCCGGATTTCGGGGTCTATGGTTGCTTTACGACTTCGGGAGTTTCCAACGCTGGCGAGCCACAGCCTGCTATTCTTCGATCAGGCCTCTGTAATAAGCAGTATCTGCAGGCTCCTGCATTGGTGCGTTGGACTCATATCGAGGCTCCTGATTGGGGCGGGCTGTATGACGGCGCTGCACTCGCATCTCCTCGGTTATGGGATGTATGACGAGGTCATACAACTTGATATGTATGAGATTCTTGTTGGACTGCTTATCGGGGAGTGTTGTAGTGAAATGTTCGCGCTGCTGTGTGTTCTAGACTTCAACATCACGCAAGGCGTGGGCGCTGAGTTTGTCCAGCGGCCTGACTACGAGCGCGCTCCTGATTGCGTCGGAATTTCTATTAGGCCCCCTACCACTGACTTGCGTCTCAGACCATGCACCATCTACGCACGACAAGCCCTCATTGAACTCCGAGCACACACCCGGCTCGTTCACCGAGTACTCCCTGATTCGCCGTCCACAGCTTTCTCAAAGAGGCCACCTGAATTCGGACTCAGGCCTGACCACTAACCGAACGCGGCTACCTGGCACTTGCGTCCGCTATATCTACGGACAGGACCCCATGATCGGTGGCTCTGGCTCGCATACGAGCGCCGCCTGCCGTTCGGAGTGGCTCGGTATGCGACGCTAGCGGCCTCCTAATTGCAGCCTGTAGAGAAAACCGGATCCGGCACTTTAGGAAGCCTTGATAACCATAGGAGTCACCGGACCATCCTCCCTCAGCACCACTATATCAGACGCATTTCACTAGCCCCTCCACGACGTAGCAGATACGGACGACTCCTGCGACGCACTCACGGGCCAACGGCCTTATTTTGAATCTTCGTCCAACTACAGAAGGAGCCCTCGGTTATCTAGTCCATTTAGACCCGATCAAATCAGGACGACAGCGAGCTCTGCGATAAGCTCAGGCGAGACAATGAGGATCCTCGTAGAAAAGACTCCAACTCAGGAGCCTGGTAGCAGACCGACCGAATCAGGAGCCTCGTAGCAGCCGACCAATCAGGAGCCTACGCTAGCAGCCAACCAATCGAGCGAGCCTCGCTAGCAGCCGACCAATCAGGAGCCTCGTGAGCTGACCAATCACGGGCTCTGTAGAACCCTGAATCAGGTGAGTCGCTTGCGCGTAAGCACGCTCTGAGCCAATCAAATGGCTCGGCCTTCATGTTCTAGGAAACCCGCGACCAATCAAGAGCTGGGGGTGCCAACAGTTCCACGTAGCTTTGTTTTTCTATTGCACCAGCATTACAGAGAGAGAGAGAGTCGGCCGCCGTGATGCGATGCTGATGTGCTTCTGGGAATGAGCGGCGCAGCGCCAAGGTGCGCGTTGGTGGAGGATCGGAGCGGGATCCCCGCTGGTCATGCGTGGCATCGATTCAGTGCTTGTCAGGGGCAGGCGGCGCAAGCGGATATAGCGATTTCGTCGTCGCCTGCTTCCATTTTCGTCGCGATGAGAAGAAGGGTCGGGGTGGCCGGATAGCAGGCGGAGATGGGATGAGCACGACTCCTACATGTCAGTAGCTCGCTTTCGCAGTGCGCAACTAATGTGCGAACTGCGTGATTGCGTGCGTCGCGTGCTTGCGACGTGTTGCCTCATGATTACTTTGCCGGATGGTGAGTCCGAGTCGTGTTATTAACGAGTGTGGTGGCGTGTATTCACGTGTGTATGAGTGCGTGCCAATGGCGTTACGTGATAGTGTGTGAGTGCCGCCGTACACAGCCAATCAATCAGCGCAGCACTCCGCTAGCAGCGTGCCGACCATCGGAGCGCTCGTAGCAAGCGATCAAGTCAGCCGGCCTTTTGC